ATCGATCGGGTGAAAATGCTGCTGCACCTAACGTTATCGACTAGCTGAGGGCAAGAGTAGCACGAACCAATTCAAGGAAACAATACCGAGAGCGGATTAGTTTTCAATCACGTACATCGATATACCTCAACCGTTTTTCTCATCCTTTTTTTTTCTTCTTCGTTTTTTTTCTGTTTGTTTTAATACCATTCCTTTAACTCTAAGTTACGGACGCTAATCGTTTCCTTACTTCCATTATAATGTAATACAACCACGGGGAATATATACACCTAAACAAAATTTACAGTATGAAGAATGAGTCTGAGCACACTGACTTAAATTCAATTTACCACGGACAACATTCTTACTCTCTCTCTCTCCCTTTCTTTCTCACTTAAAAAAAAGTTGAACTCGTTCACGCATCCAAAGATTTCATTAGGAACGATGAAATAAAAGGGTGAACGCACGGATTCTAGTTGCAAAATTCGTTTATTTTGCTCTACGAATGCAGTCAAGAGTTCAGAGAGAACAGAATTGTCAATTCTTTTCTGTACAGTGTACACCGTTTCGGAGTCAGAGTATTTGTTTCTTTTTTATCCAATAGAATGTATTGTGTTAAGATCCCAATGACCGTTGAACTTGATGCGATGAAATAAAAAACTCAGAGTTTTGTGCCTTCGTCGTGTAACCACACACACACACACACACACAATGTTAAATCGTTTAGAGAACACTGGTTGGAGGAGTGGGGAGGATGTTCGTTGGAGGAAATATAGTAACTACAATATGATCTCGTGTAACGAAAGAGAAGGAGGAGAAAAAAAAGAGAAGGAAATGTATGGAAACTCTACTTGGCTCAGAAATAGAAGAAAAAAAAACAAAGGCAAACGGAGCAGTCTCGTAAAAAAGGATACAAGTGTGTCCCTCGTTGAAGGAATCTCCGTCGAAGGTTATATCGTTAAAAAGTATCAATTAAGTCCGTACATTCTCTCCTACACTTATATTGACGTGTTACATAAAATAGCCAATGAATTACAAATAATAATCGCTAATCGATACGAAGCTATTGTTTGTTAGTACTTCCTATCTTCGGTACTTAAAGATGTCTTATTAGGTATCTAATATTTTCAAAGGACGACGAATCTTACGCATACAGTTTTATTTTCTTTTTTTTGCTTTTTTCCTTTTTTTTTTTTGCTTTTTTTGTCAAAGTAGCTGTTCGACTTGTAAGCCGCGAGGAACGTGGTTAAGAAAGTTGTTTTACGTTTCAATCCACTTACAATGTCCACCAACTATTAATACGTACGAGTTTTGCAAAATGATAAAATGTGTCACGAGTGAAAAAACGATTTGTATATATACATATACATATACATATACATATATATATATATATATAGGCGACACACCCTTCTTCATCATCTTCATCTTCTTCTTCGTCTCCTTCTGTTCCAACGGAAAAATACAAAAGCGTCGACATTTCATTAACGATATTCGTGACTGATGAAAATTCTGATTCGATGAAGAATTTCCGGTACATCAGGTTAGATAATAAATAACAAGGCAGTGGTAGGACGGTCACACATCGTGTGTGAGTGTGTGACCGTATTTGCGAATATAATTGAATTAAGAATTCGTGCTTTGTATAAATCTTCAAGAGTGGGTCGCGCATCACACTGGTTATCAAACATTGACACAGATGAAAAAAATTCAAACTGTTAAACTCTTACAAATGCTTCTCTCTTTCTCTTTTTTTTATCCTCTTTTTTTCTGTAATCTTTTTACCCTCTTTGCGTAACACTCTGCAATTCGCGGTAATTGAAAAATCGAATAATCTTCTTTCGTGTTACGTTTCACGCGGCGAAAAATTTTCACAACTTCGTTCCTCTCCTTCCTTCTTTTTTTTCTTTTTTTTTTATATATATATACTGTTCCTCCAATCGTCGAATTAACTGGTAAAAAATACTCGAAGCTTAATACCACGTACAAATAATACTTAAAAATTAAACGTTCACAATCGAACGAGTAGAACTCCGGCACTGCGCACACGCCAAGATTCAAACCGCAAAGAGAGTTAAATGCGTTCCCTAAACTTAGAACATTATAACCACGCTATTTCATACGTTAATTAAACATGTCTGAAGAAGAAAAACTATCGGTTCGTTTTGAAATTGAGCACTTGCGAAAAAAAAAAAAATGAAAAGAAAGAAAATAATGACGACGATGATAATAATAAACGGGAGGATGATTCTCGACGCAAATTGGCGATGTGTATTTCCAGTTCTTCTCGTCTCTATCGACGCGAGAATAAGAATGAATGAATATGAATGGATGATGATTATCGGATGATGATGTGAATGTCAGACAAGAACGAACATAACGCACACCGCCATTCGGCGCTTCGAAAAAGGCTTGTAATTTTATTGTACCGATGGCAGTCAGTTCACATTTTCAAATGCGATATCGATAGACGGAAAATACGAAAATACCAGATGTCACCGAGAGAGAGGATTGATTAATAAAGAAGATTCGTTATGGCAAAAAGTCGGCAGTTTACAGTTATTTAAACGCATTCGAGACTGGTTAACATCGTACGTTTCATGTTGTTGCACCTTTTGTTAATAATCGTCGCTTGACAAATGTTTGCCTTAAAATTTCAATTTAAAACCGTGCAATTCTTACAATTTGAGCATTTTCGGGCACACTTATGTTACCGATCACGCGTTCGATGAATTTGTAACCGTACTAGAATACACAATATCAATCAGAAATATTTGCTCTTATGCATCTGACTTATTGGGTAAAGTTATCGAATGGAATCAATTCAAACATCGGTTACTTGTGTCTTATCCGCTGTGATATTATATCCCTCGGACATGTTTCGTCGTTGAAACGAGGAATTAATCAAGCACACGAGATTCGAATCCTGTTCTTATTCAGGTAAAGAACAGAGGATCGTCGTTTAAGAACGATCTCTCTCTTTGTTCTTTCTTTCGTTCGTATATGGGTCGTGCAACGTCAAACTAAGGAAAAAAAGAAAAGAGAAATTATGATCGAGTATTGAAAAGGTTTTCATCGTCGAAAGGACACCCTTATAAATAAATGCGAGGTCTGTCAAGTGTCCTGTAAAATATGCATTCATTAGATGTCTCACAATATAATCGTTACTGACTATACATGTACTTATAGATAACAAGTCTAGAACACGCTGACGTCGCACTTCGTTTATCTCGTTTACTCGCTTTTTATGGATCGTTGAATTTTCCTAGCATAGTCGCCGGCAAAAAACAAAAAATTAAAAAAAAACACACAATCGAGAATTGGAAAAGAAAAACAAGAAAACCAGGAAAAAAGATACGGAAACTTTGATTGCTTACAAGTCTATACTGTCTATATGGTCTTCAGATTGACTTGAATCAGACAGGATGTGTATTAATTTCAATAAAAATAATAACAGTATTAATACGTTAACCTGCCAAAGGAATTACTATACGTGAATAAATGAATCATTTTATGTTCCCTATGTCTATCAGTATATCGTTAAATCACAGTCAATTTTGCAGGAATGGATAATAAATAAATAACCGAGTTCATTTAAAATTCGGACAAATAATTTACAAATTAAAAAAAAAAAAAAGAAGAACAAACAAAGGAAAAATGTACCACTTTTGAATAGCGGCTATATTATAAGACAAAACTTTTATGTTAAATTCATAGGAATGAAAAAATAAGTTTCGAAACCGACGTGTTTTTCCTTCTAATCGGATTGTTCCATATTACATACAGTTTATATAACTAATGAAGTGGTGTATACGTACAATACCGTGTTGATAATTGTGTCACGGACAATATGCGAATGTCGTGATTCTTAAAAGACATAATAAATGCAACACAAAATTTCCAATCATCGCTCAAAATCAACTTAATATCGACGAATGTTAATTATGGTACAAGATATAAAAAAAAAAAACAAAAATACATAATGCGTATAGGCCAACATCGTTCGAAATGTTCTAAACTAGAAGTATACGTTTTGATAAATAAAGTCAAAAAGAGAGAGAAAAATAGGAATACGATGTTAAACACATCACAATAAGTCGCACAGCGTTCTTGGGAACACGAAAAAATACACCTAACATAGTCGAATTAAGTTTACCGTAAGACACAGCTTACTGATAACAGGTTTAAATCTATGATTTGATGATCACTGCTGTGTTATTATCAGTTTATAAAATTAAGTACACAAGAGTATGCAAAAAATCATATCGTATGGTCTAAAGCCAGCGACTGTTCGAGGCATTACCAATTCAGTCTTAAAAATCATACATAGTCAAAGTTTCCTGATTGTTGCAAGAAACTGAAAATCAATCAGATCTTTAAACGTTGTACGTATAATCATAGAAAAACTTCAAACTGACGAATTAATTCATTTGGCACAAAGTACATTCGGTATTTTAGCATACTCCAACTATGGTGAATTTCCTATCCTATGAGTTTTCATACCGTAACATTCCGTTTAGGCAGTATAAAAGAAGAATCTTAATAGACATTGTAAAATGTAATAGAAAAAGAAAAATGAAAAATACTTGTTAAACCGACTACAGCGAATGACACTTTCGATTATCTCTAATCAGTATGAATTAAAAAAGCGTGTGTAATGTCAATTATAAAAAATAAGTTTATGTAGTCAAACTAAAAAAAAAAAGATAGATCAAAATATATAATGAAATAAGTTAAGTAATGTAAGATAGGAAACGGAGATTTACGACCTTCTTAAGTTTTTTCTACTGAGCGCAAACAATAAACGTATAATATATTAAGTTGTGAGATGTAACAGATAATCGAATCTGAAATACGCTGTATGCGTCGTATTATCGTTTCCCTTCACATTTGTCGAAGAAATAGAAATCCTATGAACTGTATCTTAAATTAACGTATTACATCTTTAACGTCGTACGATTTATGTAAGGTGTAGGGAGCCAACTTTTTCAGTTTATATCTGCGGATAAGTATTGTGGGTTGGGGTTATGTATGAAGGACTTCTTAAAATGTATAAGAACAAGATTAAGACGTCGCAGCTACAACTACGGGGGGAACAACGTCAGGTTCGCCGGCACCGTCGGCTACTGTAGAATCAACGACTTTTTTGACTTTTATAGATTCTGCACTAGCCTCTGAGGAACTCTCTGGTTCACCGTTTTGCGCAGATGTACTTTCGCTCGTTGACGAATTAACGTTTTCGTTCGATGACCCCTCATTTAGTCCATTTCTCTGTAATTTGTCATCTGACACTGGCACATCTGTATCTCCGTTCTGTGTTGTACCATTTAATTTTTTCTTTTCGGAATCCACTGTTGTTGTATTCGTTTCTTTTGCTTCGTCCACTACAGTTTCTTCTTTCGTTGGTTTCTCTGTCAATTCCTGTTTCGATGCTTCCACACTTACTTGCTTTTCCTCTGTATCCTTTACAGGCACTACTGATTCCTCTGTGTCCTTCGCTTTGGGAGATTTTACGTTAACGGACTCCGATTTTGTTTCAGATTTTGTTTCTTTAACTGTCTCTGTCGCATTCTTCGCTTCAGTATTTGCATCTGCTTTGCTACTAGTCGCTTCTGGTTCTGTTATCGTTGGTGCAGTGATTTTCTCTACATTTGTTAATGAAACATCACCATTTTCTGCAGGCTTTTCTTCCGTTTTCGCGGGTTCTTGTGCAGATTTTACAGAAGATTCCTCGTTTTCTGATTTCTGAGTTTCCGTTATACTAGGCTTAACTGCAACCTTTTCAGTGGACTCCTCTTTTGCTTCTTTTTCTGATTTATTAGTACTTTCTTCTGTTTTCTCGGCTTTAACCTTACTATTATTCTTTTCTTGTGATGTGTCTTCAATAGGTTTTACGTCTGACACTTTAGCATCCTCAGATTTTGTTTCTTTAGCGACAGTTTTAGATTCTTCAGTCTTCTTCTCTGTAGTACAAACTTCTTCAGACTTTAATTTAGTCTCACATGTTCCAGCATCTAAGGGGTCACTGGCAGTAACAGTTGTCTCTGATTTAGATTCTACAGTTTTTTCCGTCGTTTCTGCAGGTTTTTCTACTTTTTCAGATGCTACGGACTTATCGGTATCATTCTTTGAAGGTGTTACTGCTGCTTTAACGTCACCACTCACGGCAGATTGTACATTTTCGGAAGTGTCTAGTTTTGTACTCACCTCTGATGGCGGGACTTCTACCTTTTCAGATGCATTTTCCTTTACCTTTTCAGCGCTTGATGCATCTTTTGCATCAGTAACCATAGGTTCTTCCATTTTTACATCTGAGACTTCAGCTTCTTTTGGTAACTGATCTTTTGCACACTCCTTTGCTTCTTCTTGGGTGGCTTCTTTCGTTTCTACTTTATCAACCTTTTTCTCACTGACATCAGACATTTCAACATCTTCGGAAGTATCCATTGGTTCACTGACATCGGGCGTACTCTTACTTGTATTTTCTTGAGCTTCTGTAGGGTCTAATTTTTGTCGTTTTGTAGAAGTTTGAAATGTTAAATCTAGAAATGACTTAATAGTTGTAAAAGTCACTTTATCTTCATCTGTAAGAGCAGCATTGCCTTCGCGTATTACTATAGCTGTTGATAAACCTGCTTCTTTAGCAGCTGCAGCTTCTATTGTCAAAAATCATAATAATTGTGTTAGTGTTAGCTCATAAATATTACAATAATCTTTAAAAATGTTATGAAAGTAATAGTTACTAACCTTTGACAACATCAGTTAAAAATATTACATTTGATGGCTCTGCTCCAATTTTACTTAATATATTTTTATAACTACTTGATTCTTGTTTTGCACCCACTTTTTATTATATATTAATAGTAAAATATAGTAAAGTACCTTAAGTAAATCACCATGTACAGAATGTCCAAATAGAAGTTTTTGTGCTTCAACACTACCACTTGAATAAACATAGACTTTCCTATCATCATTCGTCCATGATTCTAATGCTTTTGGCACATCTTCATAAACACTATATAAATAAGTAAAGTGTTATTTTTCGAAATACCTCTAGTGGTTCATTATATTTTAAATTGTTTATGTAAATGTAATAATATTCATATTAGACTGAAGTGAGCCCTTACACATGTTCACCTCGATGTGTATAATAATGATATACACATGGTGTATCTATTACATAGTAGTTGTATATTATTATTTACTTATTTTCAAATTAACTTTATAAAGTTGCATTAAAGTTAAAGTTTTCATACTAATTAATATCTAGCAATTAACAATGAATTAAAGAATATGTTAGGAGATATCTTTAGTACATTTACAGATGCATTTTTATAAACATACTATTAGAAATATATAACTCAGATATTACATCTGTTGTATAAAATAATATTAAGCACTGTAGCTCAAAGGCTGTAAAATATTTTGTTGTAAATGGAAGGACATAACATGGAACTCACTGTGCTTTAACGGTTCCAGAATTGTAAGCTTCACGCCACATATGTCCTTGTAATTGTTTCAATGCACCTGTTTTTCTATCACAATCCATTTGCCATAATATATTTTTTACAAGTGACTCTCTTTCTTCTTCTGCATTAGCACCAATAATTGGTACAAAACCCTCAACTTTATCTTCTTCATCTTTCTTTGCCTATGATAAAAACATTAAATGTTTGTAAGCAAATTTATAAATGTTCACAGTGTCTTTTATCCTAACAAAATATGAAATATATTTTAAATAATAAATTAATATACAATT